GTGTGTGCGTGTGTGTGTGTGTGTGTGTGTTTGTGTGTGTGTGTGTKTGTGTGTGTGTTTGTGTGTGTGTGTGTGTGTGTGTGTGCTGTCTTTAGACCGTGGTACATGAATGGCACAATGTTGCCCAGCTGATTTCAGCTCTGCAAAGAGATGAACATTCATCAGTCAAATTTGCAAATTAAACCAATGGTGGAACTGATTCAGATGAAAAAAAAAAGGACAGGTCTTCTTAACTTTCTATTCATATGTGCAGGGTTGCATCTTTTTCTTTTTTAGTTGTTTCTGATTATATAGCTTGTAAATGTGAATGCATGCATGTTTTTTTCAGTGACAGCCATCTGTGCATGTAAATGTTGCGTTCCATAAAGTAGACAGCCATGAAATGGAAAAGAGGCTCATAAAAAACTACCCTGAAAAACCAATTATGGGTGTGAGTTTGTGAAGGTGGTATGTGCATGTGTGTGTGTCACTGCACATGTTGCCAGTGAGGGACAATATTGCCTTCAGGTTCAAGGTGTTTGATGCGGTCAAGAGGGGAAGCACAATGAAACACATTAATCCTGTTGTCTCTGCTAAAAGGAGCGACTGAGCCGAACACGTTATCCTCACTCAGACTTTATCAGCCATACAGAATTGTCCTGCGACTCCAAACGATTACAGAGGTTTATGATAYAAGCATCCAAACATGCTGTACAGTTCCTTGTTTTATCTCTCTCGCCTGGTGCCAGGACAAACATCCACACAGGCAAACGGACAACTCAATGAAGCCCTCGCAGCTTCATGACAGGCTTTAAATTCTCTTAACACACAGTGACAGGACAGAGCACACCGCCACGTCACGGGTCTCCCCCATGCCAAACACTCAGGCTCGCTCTTCAGTTCCCTCCATAAAACAACTTTGCTAATTACATTCCTATCTATTTAGTTTAATTTAGACTTTATTGCCTTTTATCTCATTCAAAAATACCACAGCCGGTTGTGGTACTAAAACTAAGTACCTCCCAGTGCATGGGGATTTGCAGATGAGGATTTGATGTTGTGTCCATGGGATTTTATCATGGAGCAGGAACAACCTCTTTGT